AGAGTGTTGGGTGTGAAGATAAATCTATGCAATTACGCAGTTTTTCACAAGCACTCTCCGCGTTAAACGACGCAAAATTTTGCTCGTTTTCTTCTGCCCGACCCAAGTTTTTAATAACAAACGTATTTTAAAATACGTATTAATACATGTAGCATTAATTTTGAATGGCTTTTTTTTCGTCTATCTAGACTGTCAATTTAGCTTTAAGTTGATCTCAAGATTGTCTTCATGCAGCTTCTTTCATGGCTAATCGGTCGCTTTTAAGCACAAGGGGGCTATCCCGAAAACTGCTGTTTTCAGAAAATTGAAAGTAAAGTTTTTGTCCCTTGTTCAGTTTCATTAAAAGACAAGGAGAGTTTTCTCTATAACCAAACAAATACACAAACCAATGAAATCAAACTTCTCCTTTAGGTAGAACAATGCCCACTTTTGGTGTTGGTCAAGATTTCTGGAAATCCCAGAAATCTAGGTTAGCCCGCTTGTCCTTAAAAGCGACCAAATGTTCTCTGTGATTGAAGCGCAGATTCTGTCGCAGTGCTTGCATTAATTATAGGTAAACAAATAAGGAGAACAATAAAACAACTGACGTGGTAATAAAGTTCTTATTAATCAAATAGACGGGAGAGAGCTGGTTATCGTGGTGTGATCCTATACCCCACAAAGGAGAGGGTTATGAGGAAAATATGAGCTCACGGCGAGCGGGGCGTCACTGAGGCGTAGGGAACTGAATGAGTGAGTACTTGTGGTCTAACCAAGGAGGTTAGTGAGTACTTGTGGTCTAACCAATGAGTTAGTGAGTACTTGTGGTCTAACCAAGGAGTTAGTGAGTACTTGTGGTCTATCCTAAGAGGTTATACGAACACTACAGAGGAAAAACGACGGTAGTAACAAACTGAAAATCGTGAGAGTACCAATTTTGAAAGCTTGTTGACTCATAACTGTATTTCTGTTCAACTTTTAGTTGATTATTGTTGTTAGATTTACCATTCAACAACACTTAACAAGAAACCACCAGTCAAACAATAATGAAGTTATGAGTCCACAAACTTTAAAAAATATATTGGCACCCTCACAATTTCTAGTTTGTAACTACCGTCGTTTTCCCCTCTGTGCTCCTCTAATTACAGTAGGCCCAAATGGAGGCTGCTCTGTGGGAGGCAACGCACGCCTGATAGAAGCCCCCTCTCTCTCTCTCTCTCTCTCTCTAGGACGCTGTGCCTAGGACGCTGTGTCTCTCTCTCTCTCTCTCTCTCTCTCTCTCTCTCTCTCTCTCTCTCTCTCTCTCTCTCTCGCAGAAACCATGGTCAACCTGCACTGCGCGCTGCCCGACTCTCGCACTGAAATCAAGATAGGAAAGAGGGTTTTATTCTGAGGTCCTTGAGATTAGGAAAGTCAGTAGACTTATTTTATGTTTAAAAACCCATCTATTATCTCATTACTGTTACTGACATCTAAATATAGATGTCATAGCGGCTCAGTATAATAAAATAAATAAATCCAGTACCAGCTTAACAACCACAACAGCGAATAACTTCTCTTTTTATTAAAGAAAGATGAAGGAAGGTGGGTAGGTGGAAAGAGTTTGAGTCTCCTTTAATAGTACTGTACCCGGTTTAATCTATCATAGTAGTCTCCACCTGAGATCCGATCGTTTATGATCCCGGTTCATTTAGAATTCCGTTGTTTGAAAGAAAAATACAACAACAACAACAACAACAACAAAAAAGCAAAAACAAACAAAAAACAACAACAACAACAACAACAAACAACAACAACCAAACTACAACCCAACAAGGGTAGTAAGGTCCATGGGTCTGACAGATCGGAGGTTGATTGCACCGCAGTGGTTGAGCTTCCTTTCACTGAGTGAGAGAGGGTAGCAGGTACTCAGGCGTGAAGTAGGGAGAGCAGATCTTAGGGTATTTACATTAATTATTTATGGGCGCGTCCCTCTTTGGACTAGTTTAATACTATCCGTACGCCCTGGGGTCATTTTGTACCCCCGGGGTTGTACTCTTCATTTTTTAGAATACTTCTAGTACGAAGATCTCTTTGAAACTTTCAGTATTTCTCAAAAAATCATTTTGACAGACTGCTATACAAAGTGTACGGATCGGATTAACGAGTAAATTACCTCTTTGGAAAGTGGTTGCACAGAATTCCTCACGTTGTATGGATACTTTAGTAAAACACGACGTATGGATAGGGTTAAAGTAATACCTGACCCCTTTTGGGGCAGTTTGTCAGAAACATTTAGTTCGCTAGGTAGTATTCGGTAGAAGGAACGATTATAGTAAGTTATTAACGGCAACAAGTACACAGCATGTCTTCAAAATCGCGTTTCAAAAATCTAAGTCAAAGGACTACATTTGGTGAACGGAAGTGGCAACGCGAAAATTCGTTTTCAAAATTAAAACAAGAAATTGGTGAGCACAACTGTTACTGACCTCAAAGAGACCCATCCTTAAATGGTCCAAAAGAATTCCACCAAATTTTTATTGGTCCCGTTTCTCTTTGTTTGTCTTCACACTTTCTGGCCACTTTAGTGCGTGATTGGTGTGTGCTCTGATGGGTTTTGTTCCTTTCTTGTCAAACATCTATCTCCCTTATCCGATTCTTTTCTTCTTTTCTTCTTTTCTTTGCATTATATTCTCTTGTAACACATCTATTCTTTGGCGCTTATAATATGATATAATCGTGTTGTAAATGCTATAAGACTCGTATTAAACTAAAACTACCCCATAACACCCCCCCCCCCCCAACAACAACCCCCCCCCCAACAACAACAACAACAACAACAGCAAAAACAACAACAACAACGAACAAACAAAAAAGCAAAAACAAACAAACGAACATACAATCAAACAAATAAACAAACAAACAAAAAACCCAGATTAGTGGGTCATCGCTTGAAGTGGATGAAAGAAATACCCCCCCCCCCCCACCCGCGCGCCCTTGTCCCAGATGCATTATATAGTACAATTGACTCCAGCCACATAGTAAACATTCATGGACATACTTTTGTATAACGTTCTTTCAGTTTTATTTCCTATCAATGTTTGTGTACATGTATGTGTTTCTAAAAAAGCCCACAAAAATCAAAAACAAAGAAACAACATCAACAACAACAATAACAAACAAACTAAGAATACTTTTTTTCTTCTCCCAAATTCAATCCAATAGATTCTAGTAATTTCAGAGAATGTTCTTTTCTGATCCGCTTGCATTTCTTGTATTCCTCAGTGCCACTAAAGATGACCACTCTCAGCACCTGACGAGATTCTGGCCCCATTGCCACGCCCAGCGTGCGTGTCCTACGACAACTGTACAACCCTTCAAAAAGATCTCCGTGGATGGTGTTCTCGGAAAGACACGAACAAATTATCCTACTTCTTCAAACGTACGTTGCACGCTCATACGACCTTATGCAGTTGTTGCGGGCGCCGTAAAACTCTTTACTAAAACAAACAAAACGCTTGTGGAGCGCTCATATGACCTTATGCAGTTGTGGGCGCCGTAAAACCCTTCTTACTAAAACAAACAAGACGTGCGTCGAAACATTATTGGTCCAAATATTATTATTATCATAATCCATCGCGCGTGAGTTCACACGACGTGCTTCGCGCGGTACCCAGATTACGCGCCTCGTCCATCGTTGTCGGTGGCGAGCCAGCCAGCAAGCAAGCTAGGTTAGCCCGGACAGCGAGACGCGGTTGTAGTTGTTGTATGGATCTCAGTGTGGACACTCCCACTTTCCCGCCTCTACCCGACGGGCCCCGGTACAGCACCAAGACGACAACGACAACGGCCAGCCGACGTCATCAAAGTCAAAGGGTCGTCTGCGGGACTCCGCGAAGCGAGTCCAAGCAAGGGCAAGGTCAAGGTCAAGTTGAAGATCAAAGTCATACGACGTTTGGCATGGCAGACAGAATGTCTCCGTGTCGGGATTCTCCTCTCTCCACGCCTACGTCAGAGGTGCTTGTTTCTCCTCTGTGTGATGGAGTGAAGAACAATAATAATAACAACAACAATATCAGCAGCAGCAATAACAACCCCAACTGTGATATGACCCTCAACAACAGCAGTGGTAGTGGTGGTAAAGGTGGTATAATTGCAAACAACAACAACAACAATAACAGCAGCAACAGCAGCAACAACAATAATAACGGCTGGGGCGTGTGTGAGTTCTCCAAGAAAAGCCGCGTCGTCGCTGGAAACTCCGGCCCCTGTACACTATCCCCCTCCCCTTTGTCGTCCTCCTCCCTATCCCCTGCCCCTCTCACGCCTACCTCGCCCCTCCCACCTCGTCACATGACCCCCTCCGCCTCCTCCTCCTCGTCCTCCTCCTCCTCCTCCTCCTCCTCCTCAGCCTCCTCCACATCGGGACCCACCTTCTCACCAGGAGCTGCAATAAAAATTATGGATGATCACGTGACACGTGGAGGCGGGCCTGTTAGTCCAGTCGGAGCGACGACAGGTCTGCCCCAACTTCCGGGTAGCCATTTTCATCGTGCCCAGACGCTGACCTCTGCTGCAGGTCGTTACCTTGGAGACGAAGAAGAACGCGTTGACCCCGCCCTCTCAGGAGGGCAGATAAGCACGAACAACCAACGTGGTGACAAACTTAGCTCCTCCTCCTCCTCCTCATCCTCTTCCTCCTCCTCCTCCTCCTCTCATAACTCCTCCCACAGCGTTTACGCTTGTGCTATATCAGAGTCCCTACCGTCGGCGTCAATGGGACACCCAGATTTCAACATGTCTGCCGGCTCGCCCGGATGCAGGAAGTGCCACACCCACCCTCCATCAGAGAGTTCCGCGAACAGGAAGCGGAAATCGTCGTCCTACCACTGTGATCAACCAGCTCTTTCGCCCTCCGCCCCCTCCTCCATCTGCTCCTCTCCCCCACGCTCCCCTCCCTCCTCACCATCCTCACCAACCACCCTATCCCACCACCACCACCACCACCATCACAACCACCACAACCACAACAACCACCACCACCCCCACCCCCACCAGCAACAACACATGGCACAGCAGCTAGCACGAGGGAGTTTGAGTACTGTAAGAGCGAGTTCGAGTCCCCATATTTTGCCTGGTGTATCCTCTTCTTCCCCAAGCCTACGACCTGCTCAGCTGTCCCCAAAAGCGTCAAACTTCAGTATTGCAGCTATCCTTGGGGGTCGGTGTGGGGGTGCTCCGTCAAACGCGACCGTCTCTTCCGCGCCCCCACCCACCCACCACTCGTCCTCTGATCAAACTGGTGGTGCAGGAGGTAGCGTGGTCACCTCTAGTTCTGGCTATAGCCACTCGTTCCGAGCCGTGGAGACGGGGAAAGAGGGAAGCTCCACTTCTGTCGGTGAGTGCTTTTTCTCTTTTCTTTTTCCCAACCTTTTATTTTGAGTCCCGATTTGATTAGGCTATTTGATTGAGCTTGCTGTTGAGTGGGAATTAGCGCTAAACATATGCTATCTATCTATCTATCTATGACAATGACAATGACAATGACAATGACAATGAAATGACAATGAAATGACAATGAAATGACAATCTTTA